CAAGGCCCAGGGAAGATGCGGCTCCACGCAAAGGCCTTGTGCTGCCCCGTGCGGGGTGTCTGGGCTGCTCCCCGAGCCGGCCCCGCCGCCCTCGCTGCGTCCGCCCTCGAGGGGGGCAGCTGCTGGCTTAATTCTCCCGTAGCCGGTGACCCTCCGGTGTGGGCAGGCCTGACCGGTGTCCCACGTAACCTGGGAGCTGAGCAAAGAGACTGGTGTCTGCCTGCGTCGCGCCGGCGCGCTTCGCATTGGGCACGTTCGTGCTTCCCTGAAGAGCTCGCCCGTCCCCCTTGACGAGGTGGGGAAAGCGGCCGGTGGGGCAGTGCTGTCCTAAAACGGAAAGGAGCGGGAAGCTCTTCCAGGGGGCTGCATCCCAGACGGGCTCTGACACCAGTTTCGGAGAGATGAGACGACCGACTCGATGCCTTGGCACGGTGCTCCCAGTTGCTTTGTTGTTTAAATGCCTGGTAGCAGACTGGGTCCGTGGTACAGCGTCCCTGCGCCGCCCGTGGAGTGAGCCTCGCAGCAGAGTTAACGTGTTCTCAGCCCTTGTTCTCGCACCTGGAAGCATCGCGATTACTTGGGCAGCATCAGTGTTGCTTTATGACTTCAGCATCTAGCACGTGTGTGCGTGTGCGTGTGTCCGTGTGTGTATACGGGCCAGCAAGCTAAGACTGCGATGCCACGCACCGCTCCATCCGCCGGACAGTAGCCTGGTATCAGAGGAAAGGACCTCTGCTCTAAAGCGCCCTCACGCTGGGGCAGGGGGCCGCAAGGTTGGTTATGGATGGGACTGCAGAGTCACCGTGGGGAGGTAGGTAATGGTTGGATCTCGTTCGCAGGAGACCTCGTTTTAGATGGCACGAGCACTTTGACCTTGTTCACCTCTACTCTTCAGCATCTGACTCATGTCTTTGAGCAGCATCTCGTGTCCCGGAACCAGAACCATGGCTTCGTTGCACTTCCCTCGCACCCTGCTGACACATCTGCCATCCTCCAGGCCCAGTTCCTCTTTGATGTCTTGCAGAAGACGCTTTCCTTGAAGGTTGGTACCAAAAAGGGGGCCTTGTGGCTTGAATGGGAGGAGTGGGAGTTTGGTGACTCATAGGGATGGCCGCCTGTATGGAGACTAGTGCCACCCTGGCATGGCCTCATCTGAGCATGATGGTGAGTCTTGTGTCATAGAATCATAGAAGTCGGGTCGGCAGGGACCTTGCAGATCTTCAGGTCCGACCCCCCTGCCTGGGCAGGAAGAAAAATGGGCTCAAGTGACCCCAGCCAGGTAGGCATCAAGCTGCTTCTTAAAGACCCCCAGGGTAGGAGCCAGCACCACTTCCCTTGGAAGCTGGTTCCAGATCCTAGCCGCCCTGACTGTGAAGTAGTTCCTACGGATGTCTAATCTAAACCTACTCTCCAACAACTTGTGGCCGTTATTCCTTGTTATCCCGGGGGGCGCTGGGGGAAACAAGGTCTCCCCCAAACCCTTCTGGTCCCCCCTAGTGAGTTTATAGACGGTCACCAGGTCCCCCTCAGCCTTCTCTTGTGAAGGCTGAACAGGTTCAGGTCCCGTC